TTAAATGCACTTTTATAGGATGAAATTTGAAAGACACGGCAGTTGCAAGCACGCAACGGAAAATCGCCGTAGGATGCCCAAGGATGCTGCATACAGAGAGGGTTTTAGCAAGAACCCAGCCTTGTTCATCCACTTTTTTGGGTGCTTGTACTTAAATTGCAATTCCTCCGGTTCCGTTGAGGAAAATTTGATAAATGATATGACGATGGAAAGAGGATTAATAGACCTTTCAATTCCCGTTTCGAACACGAAAAAAGGTTCATTTGTTCAAAAGTTATTGCCGATCAAAATTGGTGCGGTTTTTTTTGGGCCACCCTGTATATTGTTCCTAAGTGGCGATGACCCATCTCGATTTGTCTCTCGTTTTTGGTCAATGATTACTTAGCAACCGCGCGGTTCGTCGGTCTTATTCCTTTTGCATTCGAAGTAGCTGATACTCGCTTCCATCCACGCTTACGTCACTCCTTGAAAAAATATCGCGGAAAAAAATTTTCTCAGTCCGTCAAAACGGCGACGTCGGCGGGGACAACGTCACACAGTGAGTCAAGTAAAGAATCAGAGAGAGGAAATTGAAGTTAATAAGTGGTAGAGATAAGGAAGGGCGCTTGAAGGCATGATCACGAAGACCTTGAGTCGGTCTCCTTCCTCGCGAGTGACAATATGCATTCTTTGCTCAAGGCCCTCTCGACGAATAATGGAAAGTAGCAGCGGACTATCGTGCATTCTATCCAGCTGCAAAAATACATGGAGGAACACCAGGAATCATGATCCTCCCATCACTTTCCATTGAGCTCCAAAAAATGAAATACGAGTAGTTAGAGGGGAAAGTTTAAAATCTTTAAAGAAAATTTGCTGAATTATGCAAATCACTAGTGTAAAAAAAAAATTGAAAATGCAAAATTGATTAAAGGGCACTTCTCTACCGCTCAATTGCATGCACTCACGGGAGGTGAGAGGCCGAAGAATTTGGTGAAGGCTTTGTGCCTTAGAGTTCTCTCCCCGAAAGCATTCACGTATGCTCGCGACGTACTCAAATTCCCACTTCCTGCGTTTGCCACCTTGGCAATCTGGTTCAGCAAACTAGTGAAATGTTTTCCGGGACTTCAACATGAAGTCCTCATTCGTATGGCGCATACTTCATCACACACATTCGTGTGGCTTCAGAAACTCCTCTCCCTCTCCCTCCGCCAGGCGCGTGAGCCACTCGAGCCTATCTGGTTATCTTCCTCCTCACTCCTCCGTCAGCTCCAGCGAGCAACGGAACCATGGCCAGAAGCATCCTCTGCTTTGTGTTCTTGACATTGTTGGGTGCCGTTGTGGACGGGGCGGAAATCCTCATCGTCCACCACATGTGTTCCAGAAGCCATCTGAACGTGATCGAACCCCTTGCGAGGGCCTTAGGTGTCAAAGGTCACAACGTGACGCTGGTTTCCCCGTTAGACTCGAAGGAGTCGCAGGGTCTGAGGAGCTTAAAAATCCCCGGATTGGAAGAGGATTTATCGCAGGCTCGCGATGAATCGTGGAACCAGGAAGGAAAGATCGATGTCGTCGATTTCCTCCGCATTCATCAGCTCGCTTACGAGTTTGCGCTATATTTGTGTAACGTGACCTTGACCTGGGATTCCCTCAGGCCATACCTGGAGGGAACGGTGAAACTGGACCTGGTCATTATCTCGGTGTTCTTCGAAGACTGTCTCCTCGCCATCCCTTACATCAATAGAGTCCCGTTTATGTACTTTAGTACTGCAGGGCTGTTCCCGCACAACGTCTTCGCTCAAGGGCATTTCGAGAACCCATCCTTCGTCGCCAACGTCTTTTCCCCTTACACGCATAGAATGAACTTCTGGCAGAGACTTGTCAATACCTTGATGTATTACGCGACCATGGGCTACACCCGCTATTTCATAATCCCCGACGAACATAAGTTGGTGAAGGAACTTCTCGGTGACGGGATTCCGCCGTTGGAAGAACTCGCCTCCAACGCCAGCCTGTGTTTGCTCAATTCAGACATCAGTATGGATTTCCCCACTCCCAGGATGCCGGTCACGATCACCGTGGGCGGGATGCACGTCGTTCCGTCCAAGCCTCTGAGCAAGGTGAGTCAATGCTTGTTTAGCAGTCCTCAATTGAAGGCAGGCAGTTCAGGCGATACGGACCGGCGTTATCAGAGGACATATTCACTTATATTTATCTGGTTCTCTTTCTCCTCTTGGCGTACGTGCATCAACGCGATCAAGTCGTTCATGTACGTACTGTCACTAAATCGAAATTGAAACAAGGCCCATATCCTCGTAATCCTTTTGTATTCAGGATTTGTTCGGGTGACTCTGCATAGTTACGAATTGGACGGAAAGAAGATGCGATAGGGGGCTGGTCACCGCCGAATAGTTCTTTCGTCACTTTTTTCCCTAACCAAGGATACCCAGTCATGTGTCCCGAGAGGTGCTTGATGCGCAAATGTGTTGACGGCCCTACGCGAAAACCTCATTCTGTTGGAATGAGTCGTCGACCTTATTGACGTCGGCGAGGTGAGCATCTCTTGACTCAACGTTTAGAGTTTGTTTTCTATCATATAGGGTGATCATGAAGAAAGTATCCCACCTCTAGCACCTGGAGTCTAGGTCCTTGACTATAATGAACAAGGTGGTGCTATCACACCCATGCGACTAGTGAAACATGGAAAATGAATTCCAGCGCCTAAATCTCGCCACAGGGGGCATCACCAATGCATAATTTGTGTTCAAGTTACGTGATTTTCGTAGGAAATTTTCAGTGTCTGCTATCTCTACATTCCTTTGACCATTATGGATACTGATCTGAGGAGAAGTATTGATTCTCCACGTCGCAATTGTCATACCTGTGAGAAAGCACCATCCTTATGGTTGAGGTGCAGAAGCGCTCTGAAGTGCGATAGATACCCTCGTAGTTTATAATCGCCTTGCAGACTGACCCAGAAGTCTCCCGACTGAACCTAACTTGTCTTAGAAGGGAACTCTAAAAAATCAATTGGCTACTGCGTTTCTTCAACCCTTTCCCGCCGCAAAATTCAACCTCCTCGTATTCCGCTCTGAGAGCATCAGGCGCAACGAAATTTGCCCCACTTCTTCCTCTCTCACCACTGAATCGCTCCAGCAAATTTGAAGCTCCGTCTCCCCGGGATTGTGGAGGACACTGAATGTCGTTTTTGGAGGTTGTGAATTTCTTTCCCCCCCCCCCCCCCCCCCCTCCGGGAGAGGGAGTTTTCGGAGGAAAGAGACCAGCAATAAGAAAGATCGTAGATAACGAAAAGTGCCCATTTTTTTATGTTTTTGATGCTTCATTTCGCCATTAAAAATTAAATTTGCTGTCGTTCAATTAGGTTCCGATCCCGTCCCCAGTGTTACTAGATACCGTACCGAAATTATGCCAGATTCAAGACTGTTTCGACCTTCGTATTGGCGTCTGGATCTTCTGTTCGTAAGTGTATGATACATTTTTGTGCTGAGTTCACGAGTGCTGAGAACGAAGCGGTGGTTAGCAGGTATTGATCGACCTGGTGAGATAAGCAGATACCCTGTATGTTATCCGGACATCCCTGAATTAACAGGATGGCGTTTACCATGTACTGCATGCTTCTTGAAGTCATTCAAAACACAGACATATCCGGGATGGTTCGAGGAACTCCAGATAGGCCTAACGTTTCACGACCCACTGAAATGGTTCATGAATCGCGAAACAGGCCTCCGATCGGTCTAACGTTACACGTCCGCAGCCAGATGTCTCGAAGACCACGATTCACCCTGATAGGCCCAATTGGCTCCGGAAGTCGAGAATTGAGTTTCTTTTATAAATAAGTAGGTAGGCCTTGGCGTGACCTGAAGGTTGTCTGTTGGTTAGGCCTGTGCCTAACGTTAGTGAGTCCCGTAAAGAGGCTTGAAGTAAGGGAAAGTCATTGAAAATTGGTTTTCACATTATATCTTCCTATAGCAGCCCGATTTGCAGGAACGATGAAAATTATTTTTTTAAACATGCTCTTGATGTCATTCGGGTTTTGCCATTCGATTAGGCCATTCGGGTGCGCACACATTTAGAACGATTTTCCCTGTAACTAGGCTTAGATGTAGACGAAGTCTGGGCAAACCACTTCATAAGATTTTAGATATCAAATTATGTACGTTAATCAAGTTACGTACGCACTCGCGCACGGATATACCAACACCCCCCCCCATATCTACAGATGCTTATACTTAATCTCTCCCTGATGCCAAAAGTTATGACTGAAAAGATTCCCTCCGAGTGTTGGAATTTTCTCCAACCCTATAATTTGGAGGTTGGAGGTGGCATTTGCATATCTTATCGAATAAAATTTGTTCCTACTTCTTGAGGCGAATCGACTGAACCCGAGACAGGCGCAATTATGTAAGTACATAAACAAAAATGATTTACTTAATCGTTGACAGATTTCGAGAACTTTCGAGCAGGGTCCATGCCCTTGGTCTTTGGTCCTTGGTCCATTGACTGATGCCAGAACATTCGAGTCCCATGATATCTAGTTCCAGGACTCATTCCAGTCCCTGGAATGTGAATTGCGAAGGCGAAATTCCTAGTCGAATGCCCATTTAAGCTTGAAATCAAAATTTTCGCTCTCTAGTTAAAATGTTGAAATTGGAAAGCGACATCGCCTGGAAACAAAGAGACTGAGTTCGAGTATAGAGATTCGGTTAATCCCAGCGTCATCGATCTTTCTTTTTTTTTTCCAGTTATCCAGAACAAAATTAGAATAAGAGCCAATCACTCAATGAGTCTCATGTATATTAGTCATTTTTGGCGAATTTTTGTTTTCCACAACCTTCACTCTCTAAAGAAATCTAATTTCGATATTCCACAGTAAATATATTAGTCGAATGATTACCGCAGAAAACCCTTTCAGAACACTTATTCTTGCTGGTCTCCTTATTACATAGAATTGTATTATGTGCTCGCAAAGGAACTAGACTGATACACGTGGGTTCCAAGAAGTTTAATTTTGAAAATTAATCGAATGGTGCTAACGTGCAATCATTTCATTGAAAACTTACTTTGAAAAAATAATAGATATAAGTAATGCAGCAACTGTTCCGGTCTCCTGAACACCCTAGCTTGAGTGAATGAAAATTACGAAATGTGACTCAATTTGTGAGTTAAAAAGGGTTACTTCTTGATCCCTGGTTTGAATGTGTGAGTAATCAGCTGTTTGAGGACATAGGACGCCACTTTTTTCGAACCACGGTGCAAAACCGTTGGCAGTCCCAAACCGTGCAACAAATTAGTCCAGGGCAAAAACATCAGTGTACATTCCAATGATACAGAAAAAACCTGGCTTTGATGCTGCCGAAACCAACCGAACAATGACGTCATCATGTCTTTTTCGCTCAAGACTGACTCAGCTTTCCGGACAGGCAAGTCTTCCTTCCTCTGCGCATCATTTCGGCAAGTGTCTTCGTGTTCCTGGATCTCCTGGAGTGGAAACGAGAAGGAGCAACTTCGACATTGTATCCAAAGATCTCCGTATTCAGCCCCGAGGAACACTTCTCGTCCGCATCCGGTCTGGTGTAGAACGACCTCGAACTCATCAAACGGCAGCAGCGAATGGCAAAATTGACACGGAATGATGCCGACGTCATCGTCTTCTGGAACTTGCGACAGGATGAGGCGCAGGCGCTCCATGATCTCCTCGTCTGGAGAATCGGCGTCCAGGCCTTTCAACTGCTCCAAGTATGGCAGGAGAGCTGGATCATTGTACGAGTCTTCGTACCGAGGATCGATAGTGAAGGATGAGGGGATTGCATGACTTCCTTTAGTGTCAGTTACTTCTTGATTTCCTTTGCTCTTTGCTAAGGCAGCAGGGGAAGGTTCTTCGTGCCTCTGACCGTGGTTGACAGTCGCTGCTTGGATGGGGTCCTCCCTCGACTCTTCTTCAGCAGTGTCATACGACTCGTCTTCTTCCACCTCATGCAGAACAGTCAACGTATTTACCTGTGTCTAAAAGGGATAATAAAAAATTGAATCGATTGATGAAATCGCTAATTGATTCGGCCATTTGACAGTTGTCTGGCATTCGTTCAGGGGCAACTGAAGAAGCCTTTTTGGATCAGTTTTATTTATTGCAATGTACAATGATCACAGGATGGAACGACAATGCCTAAATGTGAACCACGTCACTGATCTCACTGAAACTTTGACCGGCACTGAAAACAAGTAACTAAGAAAGGTTTTCTTTTCAGTAACTGAAGAGAAATTACTATATTTTACCTTTTCAGTCGTAAACCGTTGATTAATCTACAACGTTAATTCAGTTAAGAAGCGTTGATTCCCATTCATACCTTTGATTTCACATCTTGATTGGGCGAAAGGGGGATGGAAATGTTTCGTAAAGGACTGGAAAGCCCTTCACCATCTACAGTTTCCAAGAAATAGCCAGCCTGACACTCCATCTGGTGAATAAGCACCAAAACAAGATTCCAGAAATACCACAAGAGAATGTGAACGGAAAAAATTCAAGGAAACAACTGTTATGTTGTAAACCTCCCAGAATGGCCAATTTGGCGATACACATCGATATAGCGCTGCTGAAGCACGGGTTTACAAGAACTCATTAAAAAGTTCCAAGACTGGACGTTTTACGGGAAAATTAGGTATAAAAGTCATGATCCCCTTTCGAAATGTAGCTTGCGATACTTCTCACGTTTGTAAAGAGCATGGAACACTGACTCTAAGCCATTCTTGGCAACCACCTTCAACGAGTTGGTCGCAGCTGATAGGAGAGCGATTGCGTCGACGAAGACTGAAAAAAGTTAGAGGAATCATCGGTACGTGATAGACCCGGAGAACTAGACGTATTCTCGACGATACGCGCGACTGCATCGCGGAGATTGGTTCAGAGTATCAAGCGTAGGATGTCAAATTCGGGATTTCACGCGTACGTCTAGCAACCCTGTCCATGCGGCCACGAGCAGCTGCTCCTATTCCCCACTATGAATCCGATCACTATCCACTATACGCGAGGGTTGGAAGTGAAGTGGATTGTTCAGTCGTAGAATGGCACTCCGACCCTGGCGGAATGCTGCACATACGCAGTAAATCGTGTTGTTCAGTTGCTATGGACGGAATAAAAAATGAATAGATATAACAACATAAAATATAAAAAGTGACAGACCGATCGCAACATCTATCACATTCCCATTGTACCTATGGGAACGGCTGATAAAGAAAAGGGAAAATATGTGGATCCTTGTATTTATCAAGCCGAGACAAGGTGGAGTGTTTCCCATTGACTTTCGTCCCTGCCGCATATTTCTATGCACTAGAGCAGTGGTTCTCAACCTGGGAAGTGTCACCCCTCGAATGCATGAAGGTTCAATGGAAGTAAAAGTAAGGTTGAGAACCACTACACTAGAGTTATATTGCCACGTACTCTTTTCAAAATGATTCACACACGCTGCATGATGTTTCGTACTCCCTCCTTGAGCTCAGCGAGCATGTGCCGCACCGAATGACACCTCCATCCGACAACCCTCGGAGAGAGGGATGCATTGATCGTCGATAGTCTTTGGAATGGATGGAGGTGAAGCGCCCAGATTCGCGGACTTCATTTAAGCACTGTACTCCATGAAAAACGCGAATAAATAAATCGATAATGAGTTCCACACTAGGGAACTTTTTTTTATTGATTGAGTTGCAAGTAATGACTGAAGGTATTGACGAAATGCGGCCGTTCCTTCAAAGGCCCCAGTTTCTGTCAATTGTTCTGTCTGCCAGGGTTGCAAAGCGGTCTTCCCATTTTAAGCGACGCCGGTAGGAGTGGAGGGGATCAGGCGTTCATTTTCAGTTTTAAAAGCGGAGTATTTTGCCTCGATTGCTCGGCATTCGTCACGACCTGCGATACTCACTGAGAGACATCGTAAACAGAATACGGAGGTAGAATTGTTCTCTTGAATCTCTACTGTATCATTAGGTTGCAGACGAGCTCAACCCAAGTGTCACTTCCTGACAACAGCGCAAATATTACAACTACAGTTGGGGGAAATATCAATATATACTGAATTGCGATGATAACTGGTGCGATACCGTGATTTTAACATTGTCCAGGTTCATTTATTCGTTTTGATATAAATTTCTCACCTGGTGAAAGTCGAGTTTGTGGATCGGGATGGGCCGAGAACAGATCTCGCAAGGTATCATCACTTCTGTTTCTTCGATTTTGGTTTCACCATCTTCGGCATGTTGTCCGCTCCTGTCGGCCCAGTCCAATTTCGTCATTTCACTGTCTCATTCTGATCGATTCTAATGACATATTCTGACGGATACAGATACCTGCTTAAACGCTGAAGCTTCTGCTTGGCGGGGATCTGAGAAACTTCGGACTTCACTCCGTGACATTCTTCACGGTGAGGACTCCTTTCGTCTAGACAAATGGTAGACAAATCTCTTTCGACGTGCATGGCGTGTAATGCATCCTCTACGAAGCGAAGAAAGAAAAAGCGGGTGCAACGAGAGCCATCACTGGAAGAAGCGCCAGCAGTGAGCCGAAACGAGAAATACTGACCAGAAGGGGGAGAGAGGGAGGGATCCTCCGCCTCGCTTCCGACGGACCCATCTGGAATCACAAGAAAATTCATTCGCACGCCAGGGGATCCCGAAGGATTCATGCCATCGGCATTTGAGTGCATCGAGAGAAAGCATGAATCGTTTTTGTTCGACCAGAGGACTGACCATATGATGGATACTGGGCACGTGCAGATTGATCATGAAGATCCGAGTGCCGTAGCCGGACGGGGTTCCCAAAGCGTGCATCAACATAATCCTGAAGACAGGATGGGACCGCTTCTTATAATGATTGCAGGCGTTGCCGCACTTGGCGCACTCATCAGTTATCGATTATTATTATTATTTTTTTTTATTTTTTTTTTTATTCATGAATTTTCAGGAGATATTGCATACATATATGAAAAGTGACAATTTAGGAAAGTAAAAAACATGAGAAAATATGTGAGGGACACAGCGAAGAAAGG